ACTCTAAATTTTCACCGTTCTACCATCATCCCCTATTTTCTAATAGGGGTTGTTTTTTTGATACCATCTCCAAAACGGCTTGGCCGATTTTGATGACAACCAAATTTTCACCGTTTTACCATCATCCCCTATTTTCTAATAGGGGTTGTTTTTTTGATACCATCTCCGAAACAGCTTGGCCGATTTTGATGAAATTTTATAAGTATATTGAGTGAGTAGGTCTGAAAATAGGTTGTTATATATTTTTTATACCCTTAATTGATAAGGGTAGCCCACCCTCATTTTCTTATTTTTGGAAAAAAAAAAAAATATTTTTTATTTGGCCTTAAAAATACAAACAACTCTAAATTTTCACCGTTCTACCATCATCCCCTATTTTCTAATAGGGGTTGTTTTTTTGATACCATCTCCGAAACGGCTTGGCCAATTTTGATGACATTTTATTATGTATATTGTGTAGGTCTGAAAATAGTTTGTTATCTATTTTTTATACCCTTAAGTGGTAAGGGTAGCCCACCCCCATTTTTTATTTTTTGAAAAAAAAATTATTTTAATTTTTTTTATTTGGCATTAAAAAATACAAACAACCCTAAATTTTCACCGTTCTACCATCATCCCCTATTTTTTAATAGGGGTTGTTTTTTTTAAGTTTTTTGTTACCATCTCCGATTGACTGATTTTGATAAAATTTTATATGTATGTATATTCAGTACGTCTAAGAATAGGTTGTTATCTATTCTTATACCCTTAAGTGATAAGGGTAGCCGAGAGGGTAGCCTACACTCATTTTTTTTATTTTTGAAAAAAAAACTATTTTTTTTATTTTTGAAAAAAAAACTATTTTTTTTATTTGGCCTTAAAAAAATACAAACAACTCTAAATTTTCACCGTTCTACCATCATCCCCTATTTTTTAATAGGGGTTGTTTTTTTTTAAGTTTCTTGTTACCATTTCCGAAACGGTTTTGCCGATTTTGATGAAATTTTATTATGTATATTGAGTAGGTCTGAAGATAGTTTGTTATCTATTTTTTATACCCTTAAGTGATAAGGGTAACCCATTCCCATTTTTTTATATTTTGAAAAAATATATATTTTATTTTTTATTTTGCATTAAAAATACAAAGAACCCAAAATTTTCACCGTTCTACCATCATCCCCTATTTTTTTAATAGGGGTTGTTTTTAAATTTTTGTTACCATTCGTGAAACGGCTTTGACCGATTTTGATAAAATTTTATAAGTATATTCAGTACGTCTAAGAATAGGTTGTTATCTATTTTTTATACCCTTATGTGGTAAGGGTAGCCCACCCTCACTTTTTATTTTTTGAAAAGAAAAAATGTTTTTATTTTTTTAGTTGGCATTAATAAATACAAATAACCCTAAATTTTCACCGTTCCACCATCATCCCCTATATTTTAATAGGGGTTGTTTTTTTTTAATTTTTTGTTACCATTTCCGAAACGGCTAGACCGATTTTGATAAAATTTTATATCTATATACAATAGGTCTGGTTTGGTTTGGTTTGGTCACAACCTATTCCTAGGTTGTTATCTATTTTTTATACCCCTAAGTGATAAGAGTGGCCCACCCCAACTTTTTTTTTTTATTTTTTAGACAAATTTTTTATTTTAATTGCTTTATAGGGAGTGCTTACTTTTTAGGGGGTGCATGTCCAAAATTTTCTTCTGGGTACACGCTTTCATCACTTAAGGGACCTCTGTACAAAATTGCATACTCCTAGTTCTAGAACGGATTTTACATAAAAATTATACAAATTTTTACCCTCAGTTTTACCCCCTTGAGGAATGAATTCCAAAAATCGCTCTAATTATTCAATTACGCTACATAATAAACCTCTGTGCAAATCATCATATATAATCATCATCATATTCCTTGAACAGAATTTATTATTCCAGAACGTTCAACCCTTCATTTCACACCCTTAGAGGGCGAATTTCCAAAAATTGCTTCTTAGTGCTAAATTACGTTACATAAGGAACGTCTGCAAAATTCATACTTCTACAACCGATTTTAACAAATTTTTGTACAAATTTTCATCCCTTATTTTTCAGGGGATGCATGCCTAAAATTGGCTTCTGGGTACTCACTTTCATCATTTAAGGGACCTCTGAACAGAATTTCATACTCCCAGTCCTAGAACGGATTTTACATAAAAAATTATACAAATTTTCACCCCTAGTTTTACCCCCTTAAGGAATGAATTCCAAAAATCACTCTAATTATTCAATTACGCTACATAAGGAACCTCTGTGCAAATTCTCATATTCCTTGAACAGAATTTATTGTTCCAGAACGTTCAACCCCTCATTTCACACCCTTAGAGGGCGAATTTCCAAAAATTGCTTCTTAGTGCTAAATTACGTTACATAAGGAACGTCTGCAAAATTCATACTTCTAAAACCGATTTTAACAAATTTTTGTACAAATTTTCATCCCTTATTTTTAGGGGATGCATGCCTAAAATTCGCTTCTAGGTACTCACTTTCATCATTTAAGGGACCTCTGAACAGAATTTCATACTCCTAGTCCTAGAACGGATTTTACATAAAAAATTATACAAATTTTCACCCCTAGTTTTACCCCTTAAGGAATGAATTCCAAAATCACTCTAATTATTCAATTACGCTACATAAGGAACCTCTGTGCAAATTCTCATATTCCTTGAACAGAATTTATTGTTCCAGAACGTTCAACCCTCATTTCACACCCTTAGAGGCGAATTTCCAAAAATTGCTTCTTAGTGCTAAATTACGTTACATAAGGAACGTCTGCAAAATTCATACTTCTAAAACCGATTTTAACAAATTTTTGTACAAATTTTCATCCCTTATTTTTAGGGGATGCATGACTAAAATTCGCTTCTAGGTACTCACTTTCATCATTTAAGGGACCTCTGAACAGAATTTCATACTCCCTAGTCCTAGAACGGATTTTACATAAAAAATTATACAAATTTTCACCCCTAGTTTTACCTCCTTAAGGAATGAATTCCAAAAATCACTCTAATTATTCAATTATGCTACATAAGGAACCTCTGTGCAAATTCTCATATTCCTTGAACAGAATTTATTGTTCCAGAACGTTCAACCCCTCATTTCACACCCTTAGAGGGCGAATTTCCAAAAATTGCTTCTTAGTGCTAAATTACGTTAGATAAGGAACGTCTGCAAAATTCATACTTCTAAAACCGATTTTAACCTTTTGTACAAATTTTCATCCCTTATTTCCAAGGGATGAATGTCAAAAATTAGTTTCTAGGTACTCACTTTCGTCACTTAAGGAAACTCTGTACAAAATTTCATACTCCTAGAACTAACACTTTTTGTACAAAATTTCACCCCCCAGTTTCACTACCCATAGGCTATACATTTCCAAAAATCGCTTATCAATGTTCAAATGCGCCACATCTGTGCAAAATTTCATACTCCTAGTAGGTACAGATTTTTTTATGTATAATTACATCCCTTTATCTAATTACACCCCCTTATGGGTCGAATTTTAAAAAATTACTTAGTAGTGCTCATCTTAGAGAACGAATTAATATTCTCCGTATTTACTCCAGTTTCCTAATACTAGCACAGATAACACATAATCATACTAGTTAATTTTATTGGAATAGAAGTAATTTTTATTAGAAGGTACAAAAAATTAAAAATCTAAAATTTTATTTTCATAGCTACGTTTTTTTTTCATAGCCTTAGGATGCCTCATGTACTATCGAATATACGAAATATATAATCAATACATATTTCTTTAAATATCGAGAAATAAAATATGTTTGGCAACACCGTACGAAATATCGCCGCGCGTAGTCCTCAAAATTTAAAATATTAGCATTTTCAGGCTTAGATTATGTTCAAAAGCGCCACCGTATGACAAATCACTAAAGCTTCCACACGAGAGTTCTTAAAACTATAATATTCTTTGACTTGGCCTACTAGGCCAGTAAGCGAGGGTTTTAGGGTCCGAATTCTGAACACCTGTACCGATTGACGTGAAATTTTAACAGTGAATAGAGATATAAAAGAAACAAGTTACATAGTAACGATGTGTGCTTTCACCCTGGGGGTGAGTGTCACCCCTTTTCGGGGCTGAAAAATAAATCAGCCATTTTAATTGCAAAAATCAATAAAAGGATGAATTTTAAGCAAAAAATGTTCAATAACATTTTTCCAGAAAATTAATATTTTCCTTGTTATTTAGGATTGAATATGTTGATTTTTTTCATTTACCATTTTTGCTCTCTATTCAAAATCTGAACTAGATAGGTATAATAGGAAAGCATATTATTATAGTTTGAAAGAGAATTTAAATCTGCTTCTATTTATTTAAAAAAATACAGGGTGCTGTATAGGAAACCCTAGTATAGTTTGACAGAGCATTTGAATGTGTTTCGACTTATTTAAAAATATATATAGTGTTGCATTTGAAATAACGAAGTTTTTATGTAAAATAAATATTTAAAATAGACCAGCAATTTTTGATACCCCTGTATACATTTAAGGAAGTAATACCATTTTTTTAGTAAAGTTGATTTCTCTGGCTTCAAAGTCAGCATAAGAATTAATTCTGACAAGCAATGTACAGGGTGTTGATATTTTTTTATTATAGCATGCATATTTAAATATCTTCAAATATATCAAAAACCAGAGCTTGTAAACATATTTAACCCTTAAAATAAATGCCTTATTTTGTGTCCAAGGATCCAAATATGAGATAAATACCAGATGTTCATAAGAAAAAATATAACTTTGGTAATGGATCTTAGTTCTGAGTAATTAAAAATTATTTTCAAATATACAGGGTGTGTATATTTGAAAATAATTTTAAATTATGCACATTGCCTTCCCACATATACCCATAAAATATTTCGTTTCTACATCTTTCCGTTTTTGTATAATCAACCGAGGCGAATGAGGTGCGCCGCGCCACTCTGTATATGGATTATAGCGAGTAGTACAGAAATAAATTGGAGATCAATTAACTAATGTTTATTCCAAAAATACATAGTCGTTCTACGTCTATAGAATATTCGGTTGTCCTGTATATTCGACTCATCCTAAACCTCCGCCAGTAATTGAAGTCAATAAATTTGGTGTCTCCTTAAGAATCCTATCGAACTCCTTCTTTTGTTCTTCGAAACTTAAAGTAGGCCCGGGATTACTCGGGACTGCTGGCATGCAATCTTTCGCAGCCCGAGCAACACCATTGGAAATGTACCCATAAGGTTCAATCACGGCAAAAGTGGCCGCCGCAGGATAATACAGGCTCCTAGTTCTTTCTTGTCCGATGTCGTCTAGTGTATAATACCTGTAGTAGATAATGTTATATTACTTAACATATTTATACAGGGTTGTTAATGGTCTGTGGCACGTTTTATATGATTATTGAGCCTCATTCCGAACTTCGAAATTAGCGGAATAAATTAGTGGTTTCAATTATACATTTTAGTTTACGAATCAGTTACAATGTCTAAAAAATACACTACATAATTATTAAAATTAGTGGCCCCCCATACACCTGAATTAATTTGGCCTGCGGCCTTGGCCTACTAGGCCAGTAGAAAGCGAGGGTTTTAGGGTCCGAATTCTGAACACCTGTACCGATTGACGTGAAATTTTAACAGTGAGTAGAGATATATATATAAGAAACAAAAGTTACATAGTAGCGATGTGTGCTTTCACCCTGGGGGTGAGTGTCACCCCTTCTCGGGGGTGAAAAATAAATCAGCCATTTTAATTGCAAAAATCAATAAAAAGGTGAATTCTAAGCAAAAAATATTCTATAACATTTTTTCAGAAAATTAATATTTTCCGAGTTATTTAGGATTGAAAATTTTGATTTTTCGTTTATCATTTTTGCTCTTTATTCAAAATCTGAACTAGATAGGTATAATAGGAAAGCATATTATTATAGTTTGAAAGAGAATTTAAATCTGCTTCTATTTATTTAAAAAAATACAGGGTGCTGTATTTGAAATAACTAAGTTTTTATTTAAAATAAATATTGAAAACAGACCATCGATTTTTGATACTCCTGTATACATTAAACAAAGCAATCAAATTTTTCAGTAAAAATGAAGAGTTCAGGACTGTTCAACTATAGAGGTTAATTTGTAGGTCGTGTAATTTCCTACAAATTGATAGTTTTTATCAAGGTTGGAATCGTGATTTAAATCAAGTGATTTTTTAAATTTTAATCATGTGATTTAAATCAAAAAGAAACTTTATAATAAATAAAAAAATAACTGTAAAAGTTATAAAAATGTGTCCTAGAAAAATGTAAAAAATATAACAGATAATAAATCGAAAAATAATTGTAAATATTATAAAACCAAACCAAACCAAATCAAAACTATATAAAAATATTTATTCGTCAATTTAAATGTTGGACCGATTTTTGAAGTAATTTCGTGTGAATCCATTAGACCAGGCAGGGATTTATTTTAAAATTTATGTATAGAGAGACTATATCTTCATTCCCGGGAATCTACAATCGCTGTCAGAAAATATGTTGTGTTATTTTTTTATTCAAATGGTTGTATGGTTTTCAAATTTCTACCGACATTTTGATCTGCAGTAAGTACTTTACACTCTGACATTAGATAATATGTACATACTGTTACATTTTTCGTCGGTTCCGTGTGGATAGAAAGTCACAATTTATTTAAACACTATTTATTTACACTAATTAACAAAAACAATAACGATAAAAGACTTAAAGAACTATTTACAAACGATTTATATCTATTTATCTAGAAAGAATTTATTTTGAATTTCGCGCGTCAACTGTACTCGTCTTATCTGTCCTCTTTAGGCCCCAGCCGCCGGCTTTTATACCCACAGCTAAAAAGTTCCCGAATAATCCGGAACAGCCGAGATTTGTCCATCCTTTCCTAAAAACGGCATATCGGCGTAACGGCGTAATGACCTTGATTAGATTTCCAGTAATTCTATTGGCTGAAACATTCATCTGTCAGAAATTTTATCTGTCAAATTCATCTGTCAAAAATTTCAGCAAATAGAATTACTGGAAATCGATTCAAGGTCGTTACGCCGCGCCCGCCGCGCCGTTACGCCGATACGCCGTTTTTAGGATAGTGTGGCTGCACCCTGAACGACGCCAAGCGTATTAGTCAGCTTAGACCGGCTTCACACGGGTCCGCAACAATACCACAGAAAACAATACTAATTTCATTCTCGACTTAAAACTATTTCCGAACATTAGTGTATTGTTTTATTAGGAATAAAAATTACACTTTTTTGACGATGCTGTAACTGTGAAGAACCATCGTAAAGCCCTTTCGACTTTACAGGGAGGCAAAAAAGTACATTTTTACTCGGAATAGAACATACAATTTTTTTTAAACATTACAATTACAATTTCAAATATTGAAAATAATATAAACAGTAATCAAGCAACGATTTATACACTCGTTGAATTTGACACTTAATATCAGTTTAATAATAGATATATTTTTGTACTTTTATGGCCTAGGCGTTAAAATGACGTTTGAAAAAAAAATCCTTTTGATCTGAAGCGAACGACTTTTTTTGCCGAATACAAGGTTGTTCACCACATACGACACGAAGTATTGTAGCTAAACGACTAGATTTTTACAAATTGTAAGTTTTGGATTCGTTGAAGGACTATTAGAGCTACAATTTAAAAATATTTTTACAAAATACAGAGTGTCCCAAATAAATAAAAAATATCAAAGTTGTATTTTTTTAAATGGAACACCCTATATATTATTACATTTTCAGTTTCTACGCTTAAAATAAAGGTAAATTTGATTAAGGTTTATTACACTTAAACCTTACCGTTTTTGAAATATTTTCAATTTTGTGAAATTGCAGTATAAATTTCAAGGCTTCATTTCTCCGAGAGTATCAAAGTTTTTATTACTAAATATTTACTGAAGTCTATTTATTGATCAGTTATTGTGTTGCAATAATAAAACTTTACTTACCTTATAGTGTCTAAAATTAATTTTAAATAATTACTAGCTTTAAACGGCAATAATTTGTTTAATTTAAATGGAACACCCTGTATATTTTATGAGAATCAGATGCACAATTTAATTGTCTATCAAATTGTATTATACCATTTTTTACCTATCTCTTCAAGTTCCCATAGCAAATGCATTTTCTTGTAATTTAGAACCCATTTATCAACATACCCATGGAATACTGACATTTTAGATTATTTTTAAAGATGTACCAAATTTTTAAAGAGTACAGATACTAATATTGTCGATATAGTTCGTTTATTTCATTAAAAAAAACTGTTTAAATATTTGTTAAAAAGGACCAATTAATATGATTCCAGTATTCAAACTACATTAATTGACTGTTTGCGTTGATTAATAATAATTGCTCCAAATACTAAAAAGCTGAATTATGTATGTGTATTAGACAGTGTGGTAAAAAGTAACACCTTAAAAATGATATTTAATTTTTCGACAAATGCCTATTTATAACAACAGAGACGTTCATTTTCATAACTTATTATTATATTGATTTCTGATTCAAATCCACATTTATTTAGAATAATTTATTAACGAACACAATTAAGTATGTAGTTAATTAGTATTTGGGCGGAAATACTGTGGTATATTTAATTAATGGTATACTCTTTTATAAAGATTTAAATAGTTTTCTTTTGCATACAAATGGGCTAGTAATATTATCGTTTTACTAAAACGATAATGTTACCAGCCTGTACATTATTATTACATTTGTTGTTTTAAAAACAATCTAAAATGTCAATATTCCATGGGTATATTGATAAATGAGGTCTAAATTATAAGAAAATGCATTTTCTACGAAAACTTGAAGGAATAGGTAAGAAGTGGTACAATACAATTTGATAGACAATTAAATTGTGCATCTGATTCTTATAAAATATACAGGGTGTTAATGTAAATAAGTTATTGCCGTTTAAAGCTAGTAATTATTTAAAATAAAATTTTAGACACTCTGTATAAAGTAGTATAATTTTTATTATTGCAACACAATAACTGATCGATAAATAAACTTCAGTAAATATTTAGTATTAAAAACTTTGATATCCTCGGAGAAATGAAGCAAATTGAAATATTTCAAAAACGGTAAGGTTTAAGTGTAATAAACCTTAATCAGATTTACCTTTATTTTAATCGTAGAAACTAAAAATGCAATAATATACAGGGTGTTCCATTTAAAAAAATACAACTTTGATATTTTTTATTTATTTGGGAAACTCTGTATCTTGTAAAAATATTTTTAAATTGTAGCTCTAATAGTCCTTCAACAAACCCAAAACTTACAATTTGTAAAAATCTAATCGTTTAGCTACTAAACGATTAGATAATACTCCGTGTCGTATGTGGTGAACAACCCTGTATATTGGTGGCCGATGTGTGGCAAAATGACACGCGCCGTAGAATTGTTAATGTTATCGGTATCGGGCAGAGTCATAAAGATTTAGCCATTTAGGATAGGACTTTAATTGGAAATAAGTCCTAGTCATTTAGAAATCCGATTTAAATATTGTTTTGAATTAAAATCAAAAAAATCTAATTTAATCAAAAAAATCTGATTTAAAACAAAAAAATCTGATTTTTTAATTTTTTTTTAAAAAATCATGATTTTTTCCAACCCTAGTTTTTATATTTATGATTTCATATATTCATATATGAAAGTCATATATTTTGTTGTAGTTAATTTTTTTCCCCGAAAAAATGAGGTGCCCATTTTATTTTTATCATAAATCCGCGAGTTTTTGAGCTACGAACTTAAAAAGACCTTTTAAAAAAGCACGTAAAAGGTCTTTTCAAGCACCTTAAAAACGGTCATATTCATTTTCTTCGAAAAATGTGTTTGGTTTGGTGTGGTTTGGCCATTATTTTACATTAAAAGAGTTGCAATTTAGTTTTCGAAAAATAAAAAATCACCTTTACAGAGTGATAACTCGGCTATTATTACACATACGATAATCAGCAAAAAAACGAATCGATTCGTTATTCCAAAAGCTTCATTTTCGAGTTTTGCGATAAAACCAAAGATATTTAAACTCAAGAGATACAATTGTTTACCTTTTTCCTTCATCAGGCATTATTCTATCCATATTTTCGCATCTCTCTTACAGCGAAAACATTTGCCAGATTTACCTATATATTGGTATTAGTATTCGATTAAATACAACAAGCAATTATTAAGTAATAAATAATTTCGTTATATTTCTATAATATATCAAGTACATTAATTTGCAACGTCAATTTTTTCGTTTAATGCTTAACTGCTTAAATATTTTAAATTTTATAATGG